TAGAGCTTCCTATTGTTTTGTGCGTCCTATAGCAGAAACAGTATGCACCTTACTTGTCCAGATTACCTCTACCTTCCTTGTTCCTCCCAGAAATCACCTGCTAAGAAGCTAACTAATGCGCTTAGCAAGTCTTTAAGCTGTGCTTCCAGCCGTGAACCTTTGCACCCAATGTTCCCTGACCAGCCTGAAAAACCTCTAAACCTGGCTCATATTGTGTAAGTATCAGTGTGCTGTAGAGAAAGTAAGCTTTGTTGTAGCTTACATCGAGTGTAGATACTATGGCTCTGAACAAAACGGGAGGCAGCTGTGGCATATCAAGCTCAATGCATCACAAGTGCAAATTTGTTGATAGGGATGTTTAGTATAAAAATGTTCTTCTGGTGTGAATTCACTGGAAAAGTCAGTGGTATATGTACCTATAATCAAATAGTGGGACACAATGTTGGCATGTCCCCATTCTCCTCAAGAGGTATCTGTGCAATTTCGTAGAATTTCAGCACTTTGGGGTGTATTCATGCTGAGAACATTAGTTTTTTCATCTAGAGACTCTCAACTGCAGTGTATCACAGGTATGTCTTGACATAAGGCACCAGAGAAAAGTGAAGTCCTACCAATTTTGTTGAAAACAGTGTCAGAGTTCTCGCTGACTTTAGTGGAGCTGTGGCTTCACCCAGCCTCGAAGACTAGCTACATGATTCTGCTTAAGAATTGTGTCCTTAACTGCCAAGTCAATTGAAAAGGGTCTATTATCTTTACATTTTGATATTTTGGGAAAGCAAAAATATTTTTTGGTGTAGTAGTTTGTGTCACTACTTTGTCTCTGCAGGAATCAAGGAACTTAAGGCAAAGAGAAAACATATTTGTACAGGGTGGGGAAATCATCACTTTGGAATTTTTTTTTTTCCTAAAGCATGTCCACTGTTCATAGTGGCAGTTGCTCAGATTTTCTCATTTATCCATTTGTTTTACCTTTGCTTCCTGGGTCCTTAAAAAAAAAAAAAAAAGTTAAATTTTCCAGGAAAAGTCAAGACACTGGTTGGAAGAAAGTTACAAAGAAATTAACTTGGAAAAATTATTCCAGAGATACTGTCTTTAAAGTATTTCTCTTGTTCTGGTATCTGTCTTAAGATCTTTCTTAACCACCTTCCCAGGGGATCTGACAGAAGTATTTCAGGCAGCAGCCATTAAAATTGTATTTGCATGCAGCATAGCTGTGTTACTGCTGAAACTGTTCTGGTCTGTAATTATTATACATACTTACTTTTGTCAGTACTGAATGCTTGTATGTAGCATCTCTAAGGGCAGATGCATGCTGGCCGATGTGGGCTGTGTGACACCTGGAAAATTTATCTAACCTACCTGGTATTTTAGGGATAAATCATGCTAATGGTCCCCCTCATGTGGTTACAGCAGAACTTTTTCAAGGCATGAGAGATTGGTCTGCTCTTCAGACACAAGGTGCCTCCAACAGATGCCTAGTGCCAAATCCCCATTACACTCGACTGTCAGTTAAAACCCGTGCACCTTTTTATGGAGGTGTAATGGGAGGATCTTGTTCTTTGGAAGAAATCATCCAGAGATGGGTCTGCTGAGCTGCCCCACGGCTGTGCGTGGTGTAAAAGCCTGGCTGTGCTGGCGAGTCAGTGAAAATTTCAGAGGGCGGATTTTGGCCGTCCTTAAGAGAAATGGAAAGAGACAGGGACCATGAAACTGAGAGAGAAGCCTCTGTTCCCTGTTGGCTAGAGGCCCTCGAAGGCCTGGGGGTATGTCAGAAGATAATGGGTAGTGAAAATTGGGCTACTGTGAATGGATTAAATGCATTTAGGCACGGCAAGGGGAAGGTACCATAATGGAGTGGGATCTGTTCCAAATCTTTGCTGTGAAATGAACACCTTCCCTTCTTCCTAACTATGCAGATATAATTGGATGTGAGAATGAACCACCGTCTATTTTGTTTTATGATAGAGTTTCTCTTTATTCATAGATTGAAGGCAATGTAACTTGGCAATATATATATTGGCTCTAATAATACCTGAGTGAAAAACCTGTAAGTTGTGGAGGTAGCATGCTCTAGAGCATAATTCGCATAAATTAACTGAGGGGAAAGGTACGCTACAGTACCTCATTGAGAATATCTTCTTGCTGATGTGATTTTTATTTTTAAACATAATGGAAGTTGAGAGAAACAGCTCTGGGCAGGAATCCAGGCAAAAAGGTTTTTATATGTGCATTTAATGGAAGAGTTTTGGCAACAAAACAGTATCCTTTTCTTAGCCTCTAGCTTAAACAGGGACAAGTAGTCTCTGCATTACTATACAGCCTTTCCTTTTCATCGTTCTTTCAACTTTGAGTGGTACCAGACAGAAAGACTGCATGGTTTTTCTGTTTTACTGCTGCCACACAAATTTTTCAATTAAGCAAGAAACACATCTAAGGCTCATCTAGAGAAGTAGTTATCAAGGTGTCATTAACCTGATGGAGGACCTCCCCACCACCCTGATGAAGGGGTCATTTTTCCTTTCTATACATAGGACTGACAACGAAAAAGAAACACCAGGCTGCAGAGATGACAAATGGCATGGCCAGTGCCTCATGGAGGGATTTTCAAATGCATTCTGCAGTGGCCTGACTTTGTTTCCATCTAAGTTTGCGGGAGCATTATTTTTGACATCAGTATGAAGAGGCTAGACTAGGAAGAAGCACTTTGGAAAATTCCTCTTATTTAATTTAGTTTATTACTGTGGGTATGTGTTATGCCATAACATGCATTTATTACATAACATATTTCCATAGTACTAAGTGTTTTCTGCCTCCTTGGGGCAGTTGATTGAGTATCATCAGCTCACTTTTACCAGAAAGCTTAATCACTCACTTCCAGAAGTTTAGAAATAACCTCAGAAAGATAAACACTTATAGTCAGCAGCTGAGTTTTCCTTTGCATTGCCATAAAATCTGCTGTTCTTGTCTTTCACATCACACAACTGTGTATGTATGTTTGAATATCCATTTGATATTCAAGCTGAACCTGAAGAATGTGATAGTGGGAATCAGCCTTTAAGAAACTTGCCTTGGGAAAGCTCAGGTTAGTTTGATAGTAGTTTTCTTCATATACAAACTAACAAATTAATGCTAATCACAAAACCTTAGCAAAGCCTTGGAGTTCATAGACATTTGTACACAAAAATAACTCTGCATATGTAAACAAATCAATGACCTTTTATGCGTAGAGGCTCTCATGCTTTTTGCAGAATCAGGGTCATAAGAATGGAATATGTCCAATGCACTACTTAGACCACATACATATTAAACTGACAATTTAATTAATGATCTCTTTTCCATTTCATTTTGGCTGCAAAAGAGATACTTGGTAAGTATTTTTCTTCTTTAGTATACTTATTGGAGGAAAAAAACTTGGAAAAATGCCATAATCTCATTATTACTAATCTTTAACTTTTTATCAGAGCCCAAAACCAAATAGATAATTGTCTTTGAATACAAGGAAAGTGAAAGGGAAGAGCTCTTTTAGGGGTTATAAGTTTTTTCTTCTACCTGTATTTTGAGATAAAGGTTAGAGAAGACATTAACCTGAAGTGTGTATGTGGTGATCTGCTGAAGTCCATGGGTGCCACATACCTACTTCCTACTCAGCGGAGGTGAGTTGGGTGCAAGGCAAAGCAGAACCAAGCTCTGCCAAAGGGCACTCTCCCTGCCTCCTTCCCTGGGACAGTGCTGGGTACTGGCCTCTCCTCCCTTCTCCTCTGCTGTTTAAGACTCCACTGCCCAGGGTTGGAGCCATCGTTCAGAATCCCCAGCCTGTGCTCAGTTAGTTTTTGAATGTGTTCACTGGCTAGTGATTGCAATGAGAAAAGGAAAAATGCAGTAGTCGCATGTAGTCGGTGTGAACTACTTCTCCTACATCGATTACCAGTTTACAATTCCCAGGCAACAAAATACTGGTTTCTTACCCATTAAATACAATTAGTTTTCAGGTATTCCCTTGAAGTACATTTTCAAATCTCTGTATTTCGAGACTCATACCACAATGACCTGTCCAGGGGATTGGCTCTGATCATGGCTTCATCCACGCTCTGCCTAGCTCTGATGAAGAAGTCCATGAAAAATAATATTGAACGCTTCTCCATAAGTACGTAGAGCACAAAGTACTGCTGCTCAAATTCATGGCTGACCAGAACTGGAGTTTTTTCATGTGGGTCTGCAGATGCAGGGTTAGGCTAAAACTATATTTTCAGTATAAATAAGTAACGTGCCAAATCCTACGTCTTTCTACTCTCGTTTTTAAACTTCTTAAAATCAGTGTGGTATTGTCATGCTGAGAAATCCATTTGGACTTGTCAAAGACCACATTTATGCTTGTTTTCTAACAGTTACAAAATAAGAAAAAACATATAGCAATAGTTCACTTCTGTGCAGAACTGGCTTTCTTCATTTCTTACAAATGGCTTGGGTGACCAGTTGTCCTGCTCAGTTGGAGCCCAGTGAATATTTTGCAGACAGCTATTACATTTTGATTTGCACTTCTGCAGAATGCAGAAAGCAAGACAGATCTTTCACAGAGCTTAAAGGGGTTATTAGCCAAATTGAAATTAGGCGATTTTGAAGCCTGAATTACATATGGCTTCAGGTTCTGCTCATATCTGATTGAAAACCCTGTGATTTCAAGAACATATTTTTTTAGTTTTTCCATAGTGTCTATATCTTTTGCCCAGTGTTGCATAAGAAGTCTATTAAGAGGGGAAATTTCTCCTTAATGGATACAGAAGAAAAAATTATGCACAAAGTATTTTTTAAGAGTAGACAATAAAAGAAAACAGAGGAAATACTCCTTCTCATTTCATTCGTAGTAAGAGCAGGAAATAAAGAATGTAGTAATAAAACTGTCATTATTAATGGCTCCTCTTAAACTAAATACTTATTTTAAAGTTTGATTTGGGGGTTTGATATACCCATTGAAAAGCTTTGCAGTTAAACCAGTTTAGTACTACGTGTATTTTATGGGACACTGAGGGCTGTGGGTACGCTGTGGTCACTATGTGGATATGATAGGATGGAGCTTAGCGCCAGGGATAAAGCTCATGAAAAGATGCGTCATTTATTGGCCGTCACCCGCTGCAGACCTCTGTGCTGCACAGCAAACTGCTGCCCGTGCTCAGCCTCGCTGGCTGAAAGCGGTGACTGCACCGGGGACTACCGGCTCTGGAAAGAAAAAATGGCATAGTGGTTATTTTGCCAAAGCAGGAAAAAAAGTCAAGCAAGTTGCTTAAAACTCACCTCAGCACACACAAAAGCATTTTTTCTTTCCAGGCTTAAGTAACAGTGTGTTTTTATCGACTTCTGTTTAAAAACACAGCGTCTTTAATTTGGAACTACTGCTACTTAAAGCAGCAGATGCTAGTAGCAATGTTACTTTAACAAGGAGCTTATTTAATTCTCTATAAATACTGTTGCTGATGAGTTTTCTTTTGTGCAAAATTAATGAAACTGGATATTTTGCCATCTTCTAGGCCCCCCCGACCTGTAACCAGCATGAACGACACACTCTTCTCCCACTCTGTGCCCTCAGGAAGTCCTTTCGCAAACAGAAGGTGAGTTCTTAGCTAATTTAAGTTAAACCACTATATGAGGGTGATGGAGGTTTCGATTTTCAATTCTCCTCCCCAGAAAAAAACCCCAAAAACCAACAAAACCACATAACCAAAACCAAAATAAAATTAACAAACATGAGCAGAAAATGCCTTGGGTTTTTTGGACTGATACAAAAATATCTAGATGGAGAGCTGGCATTAGGACACCCCAAACTCCTCACAACGGAGCACAGAACTTCAGTTCTCGTTTGAACCATTACATCCCACTAAATACACTCATGTGTAACCCAAGCACCCCCCCCGTAGGGGCTGAAAATGGGCTGTTGGTGAGAAGCCATTTTGTATCATCACTGTGGGAATAGAAACCGGGAGATGCCGTTGCCTCCTGGGAATGCCTACATGGTAAGAACGAAGAAAAAATGTGTTCATGCTTGCAAGATATAGCAAGACAGCCTTACTGCTGTTAATCCATTCAGATTTTCATTAAAGTCTACAAGAAAGAAAGAAAGAGTTTTCTTGGCATATGGTCACCCTTCAGCAAACCAACTAGAAAAGAGTGGTCAGAAACATTAATCCCAAAGAGAAGGTGCTTGCAGCTGAGTGTACATTTTGGCTCAATGTTTTGTCTCATTTAGCCAAAATACATGTGTAGCATTTGCTAGTGGTTTCACCTGATCTATGTAAGTCTACCAATGCACATAGATGAGAAGGTGGCAGAAAAATAACTTCCCACTGTATTGGGGAAGATAAGTGGTATGTTTTCCTTGGGTGTATTTTATTGCTTGGTTCCTGCTGTACATGTCAGTGCTTCAGTGTTCCTGAATAACCAAACACAGTCCCTTGAGTGTGCATGGCTACATTTTTTAACACCAAAACCAAACCCACAGTGTACCACACTGCAGTGTCAGAGTAAAGATGGTTTACTACTACTTTGATTTATGAACTTTGTTACCAGGAGCTGTAAACTGTAAGCTCTCACTGTTATCTTAGCGCAAGTAGCTGCTGGGTGTGACTGAGACGCTTTTTGAAAGCCAGTCCCAAAGCAGCCCCCAAAACCAGATCTGCTGCCTGCAGAGAGAGTGAGACTGCAAATGCATATTCATTTCTGTTGTTGGAGTATACGGAATTGTATGTGCCAGGGCAGGGCAGGATAATCTATTTGTGGCCTCTCCAGGGCAGGCCATTAAGAGCGGTGCTCTTTAAGAGTGCAGCTGTTGCTTCTGTTTGTCCCAAAGAAGTCCCTGTGCTCATTCAACAAAAGTATGCTTTGCCCTTTAGGTCAGAGACCTGGGGTAATAATCACAGCACTGTCTACTGTGCTACTTGTTTTTCTTTACATATGCAAAAATCCTGATTATTTCACTTTCGTGTTCTTTAGTAATTCAACTGACTGTCTTTAACTATCAGGGTTAAACATATATGATCCCTGATCCCTTTCTCCTAGAGGAAGAACTCCTTGATGGAGAATCCCCTGAAGGCAGAAAACAATAAAACCCACAACCATAGGTACCCAGACTTCCTCATAAGTGGATAGTATGAAGTCCTTACACAGCAAAATGTTTCTGTGATGCAGCAGTCAGCTCTGGCTTTTTTAGAGTTAACAGTACCCTGATATATAAAGCAATTACATTGCTCATATATTTAAAGCTAGTGTAACTTTTGTTTCAGTGACCTAGCAGGATTTTTAAGTGTTTGACAGCTTATTCTCGTTATTTTTATTATCAACTCTTATGAATTTAATTTGCACTTTTTTATTAAAAAAAAAACACCCTACCAACTGTCAAGACAGTATCCTTTCTAAATGGGTACGAATTGCATTTATTGCCATGAACCCACTCTGAGCACATTGGTCTCTGTGTATACTTTTTGGGGTATTAACAAGGTTTCATTGTTTGAATCATTCAGGTTACTTGGGGGTATAAATGCAGCCAGTCCTGTGGCTGATGAGCATTCTCTTATAAAGCTGTATGTAAATCAGCTTCACAACAATTCACGGTCAGTATGAGAGCACTAACCCACTAATCGCTGTAGTTCTGTAGCTCATGCACTAAATCACTAGCGATTCTGCTAAACTACTAAAGATATTCTTTAAGGAAGGCTCTGGTGGGCTGGAGGGTTTCTGTGGCTCTAATTAGTCTTTTGAAAAGACTTCCTGCTGGCTGTGGGCTTTGCCAACTTCTCTTGCTTCTGCACAGCACAAACCTTTCATTTTACCCTTTCACGTAGGATTAATATCTAGAGGAAGTTGGAAACACTGTTTTTGAAAACCACAAAAGTACACCTTTACGGTTTCATCGTCACTGTATGACTTGCCTGACACGTTCTTGACCGAGGAACGAAAGAGGCTCGCACAAGAGTCTGGAAACAAACCCAGGTCTCACAGCCAGCCTCCTCTTCCACAGCTTTTGCTGCTGGTGGTCACTGTTCTGCTACTGTTAGCGGTGCTTGCCAATAATCTTCCCCAGGCCCCTTTGCTTTGCTTTTTAAAATGGCCACAGAAAAGGCAGATCTAAATCCTACTGAAGCTAATGAAGACTTCCCATTTATGTAGTGAGCGTTGGATTTGGACTGATGCCTCTGGTTGCTGCATCTTTTTTCCAGCATTCCCTCTTATCTTAGTGACCTAAAGGAAGAGCCTATTTCATTCTGCATAAAAGAAATATGGAGCTGGATAAGAACAGTTTCCCCTTTTTTGTTGTTTTTTACTGTGGAATGTAATGACCTTTCTTTTTTTCTTTTTTGATTAATCCATGAGCATTAACTGTAATTCAGTAAGAAAGTACTGAGACCAAGGTACTTTTCTGCTAAATGCCAAGTTCTTCAATCTGTATTAGGCTAATAACAGTATCTTCATTCATTCTTTTAGGTTTTACTATTATTATTGCCCTGGGAAAATCAGGCCTCATTAGTGTAAGCTCATCCTCTCGTACATCAGAGAAACAGACTATGACAGCTCTGTTTGCAATTATGCTGATTTTATATTAAATGCTCCATGATTCATATTATAATAAAAATTGTAAAAACTCAGGATAAAATTTCTAGCTGAACGTGATCAATGCTAAAAGCTCTGCTGGCTGTGTTTTCACTGCAGATAACTTATGGTTACTTTAATTTGTGCTGCAATCTAGTCCAGAGGTTCCAGATAGCTTTAAAGAAAGTTTTTATGTAATTAGAATGTTTATGCAAAGGAGAATTGGCACAGACTGTCATTTGTAGCATTCCCATGGTATTTATTTCAGCTAGTTGTGTTCACATAAGAACATTACCATGCGCAACCAGTTTCTCCCTGTAGCAGGAAATGCTGAATTCAGCACACTGAGTCATTCTGCTGCTGGAAATGGCTATGGTCTCATAAGTTCAGCATAATATCATCTTCATTTCTGAATTCATGGGTGAAAAAGGGAAATGAACTGGGAAGAAGAAGAGGCTTCTTATTAGAGGAAAGATCTTTGATAACTAGTAAATACAATGACAAGTTGTGGGGAACAACTGAAAGGAGAATGAACATTTTGTGTTCTTTGGGGTTTAATTGTGTCTGAAGCACTGGTTTTGGGTGGGTACGCAGTTATTCCAAAGCTCAAAGGAGGTCAGATTGAGGCTTTCCCTGAGATGCTGCTTAGTTTCTTTAAGCTACTTTAGGATCAAAATCCCTTAAAATTTCTCTGCTTGCTTTGTTTCGTTTGAGCCACCTTGTCCATAAGAGAGCTTTCATGAGGAAGTTGGCATAAAAATAACAAGCACCTTTTTTCTAAATATATAAAGCATGGCAATTGATATCAACAATATGCTCTGTACAGCTCAAGAACAATTTAAAGCACTTACATTAGAAAAGAAGAAACAAAAAATCTGTGATCTTCTCCCAGATACCAAATCACAGTCATTTGTTGTGTTGACAGCTGATATGTGATTAAAACCACAACTTCTGTAACTTTTTTACTGTAGCTAATATTCAGGTTTTAATCTCACATTTGTTTTTGTGATCTCTGATTCCCCAGAGGGCAGCAGAACAAGGGGATATTGCTGCAGAGTAGGTAATGCCCTTGCAAACCCAATGACTTCGATGTGTTATGTCAAAACAGGTAAATTGAGCATTACAGAAACTTCTGTCCAGTCAAGAGGAATAACTCTATACCCTGAATTAATGTTTTCTTCCTCATTAGGATTCTTTTGTTCCCCAGCTGCAGTCTGTCAGTGCTGCCTTAAAGTACACAGCTACCATGGTAATGGATACAATCTCTTTCTCTTTCTTGATAAATGTCTTCTTTAAGCTACCAAATGATAGGGCTAAGGTGGAATAAGATGAAACAGAACAATTTTTCTTGCATTTTCTCAGCCCCTCCTCACAGCTAATACATTTAGTTCTTCTAAAGACACCATAAACTGGAATAAATGGAGTGATGCAGCACATTCTGATGAACTTGAAATCACTTGGCAATTCTGTGGTAGATAGATAGAAAAAATTCATTATAGTATCAAATGCCCATAGCCAAGGAGAAAATGAGCCTTATTTAATGCTGAGTCAGAGTAGCTGGTGCCTTTTTTGAACTACACATAAACGCTAGAAAGAATTGGATATTCTACCTGGACACAGCAAGACATTTTGGCCAAAGTTTTGGACAACAGCTGACTTCAGAGCAAAACATACTGGTTGCTGCTGCTGTCCATGTTTCTATTGCTAAGGAGTATGGTAGACTTGAACTGCATGTTGTGTTAGTATGTTGTTTTCAGAACAAGGTGAGAATCCTCCTTATTTCATCGGCAATCTTCTGCCTGCTAGGAAGAGTAGTTTATATGTCAAGTAGACACTAAAGAGGGTATAACATTTACACCAATATTGTTAGGCCTACAACTTTGCAGACATCTGCTCAGAATTGGAGGTTTTGTCTCTTAATTTGGATGGGGAAGCATCCCTTGGCATCTTACAAAATGTTCCATTTTAACAGGAATATATCTTTAAAATATATGTTCCAGTTGGTAGAACCCAGAGAAGCTCACTGCGGCCAAAACAATCTGAATTAAGAGCTGTATTTTGGGGAATATGTGGAGGACATAGAAGGGTGTGGAAGAACAAGGACAAATGTCGGCTCTTCCAAATGAAGGAAGGTTGATAGTGGAAACAGTGACAAAAGATCGAAGGGATTATACAAGAGACAGCCTAACCTTGGTATCCGAAGATACTGAAATTATGAAAGAATTAGTAAGCACCTGGAGGATAATAGACCAATGAGAAATAGCCAGCATGGATTTGTCAAGAACAAATTATGTCAAACCAAACTAATTTATTTCATTGACAGGATAACTGGTCCAGCGGGTAAAAAAGAAGCAGCAGATATGATATGGGTTGACCTTAAAAGGACTTTTGACATAGTCCCAGATGACACAGAAGTACCCACAGGAAATATGGACTATGAGAAATTAATATAAGAGCAACACTGAAAATCAGTGATTACATTTTCAGAAGTTTGCTGTTGTTCTAGGAGGAGAACATATCATCTGGGATTCTTGAAGGCTATCCTAAGTCAGACACTTATGCACTATTTCTTGTAATGACCTAGTCAGAGCAATAGAGTGAGTGTATGAAATTTGTAGATGGTACAAAGGTTGAAATAGTTATGTGAAGGAGTGCTTGGAGAGCAGTTTCTAAATTAAAAATTAGCTCAGTTGCAATGGTAGTAATTGACGCCCAAATGATCTGAAATCAGTTAGAGGAAACTCAGTAATTATAAGTGAAAAGTGCTATAGCGAGGAAGCAAATAATCTAATAAAAGATGGAGCATAATTGGATGGACAGAAATATTTTAACAGAGGACCTAGCAGTTGTGGTAAACCACAAACTAATTGAAGTCAGCAATACAGTTATTAGATTGCATCTGACCCTGGGACGTTGTGTGGAAAGCCATTAAAACTATTCCCTGGAGGAGGACAAATCTTCCTGGAGGTTTGCAGCCAGTGTAGGGCAACAGCACAGGGACAAATATGCTAACCAGCATGACAGAGTCCAGAAGGGACACCCAAATATCAGAAAAGCTTAGAAAACGTAACTTATAAGAAGAGGTTGGAATATACAAGTTTGCTTAATCAACTAAGAAGGAAATGGACATTGATGGACATGATATCAATGGGTAAAGTTTGCTTGCCTGTCCCTCCACCCTAATTGTGTTGCTTCTGGAGCATGGGAGAGGAGAACTTACGATTGATAGAGGGGGCATCACACTGCGCTGTTAGAAAGCAAAGCACAAAATCTGCCCTGGGGTCTTTGGTATCCCATTGTGGCAACATATTTATCTTTACTTAAGAACCAAATGCTGCATTTTTGGCTGAAACGGCGCACCCTGTACCCCTTGAATACGTTTTCCTTCTGTAAATGGAAAGAAAACATGGGTGGAAAATGTATCCTTCTAGATGGCATGGAGCATGTTTATCTGCATGGATAAGTGATTACATCACTTTAGTGGAAGCACAACTCAAATAAGTAGCATGCTGATGTGAAATGTGAAGCAAGCATTTTTTCTTGCTGTGCAGTACTGCATTTCACAGAATCACAGAACGGTAGGGGTTGGAAGGGACCTCTGAAGATCATCTGGTCCAACCTCGCTGCCAAGGCAGGATCACCTACGGCAGGTTGCACAGGAACACGTCCAGTTGGGTTTTGAAGGTCTCAAGAGAAGGAGACTCCACAACCTCTCTGGGCAGCCTGTTCCAGTGCTCCATCACCCTCACAGTAAAGAAGTTTTTCCTCACGTTGAGGTGGAACTTCCTGTGCTACAGTTTGTGCCCATTGCCCGTCATCCTATCACTGGGCACTACTGAAAAGAGACTGGCTCCATCCTCCTGACAGCCACCCGTCAGATATTTATAGACATTGATAAGGTCCCCTCTCAGCCTTCTCTTCTCCAGACTAAACAGCTCCAGGTCTCTCAGCCTTTCCTCATACGACATGTTGCAGTTCCGTAATCATCCTCGTAGCCCTCCGTTGGACTCTCTCCAAAAGTTCCCTGTCTCTCTTGAACTGGGGAGCCCAGAACTGGACACAATACTCCAGATGAGGCCTCACCAGTGCAGAGTAGAGGGGGGGGTATAACCTCTCTCGACCCGCTAGTCACACTCTTCGTAATCCACCCCAGGATACCATTGGCCCTCTTGGCCACCAGGACACATTGCTGTCCCATGGATAACTTATTGTCTACCAGGACTCCAAGGTCCTTCTCCATGGAGCTGCTTTCCAGCAGGTCAACCCCTAACCTGTACTGGTGCACGGGGTTGTTCCTCCCTGGGTGCAGAACTCTACACTTGTCCTTGTTAAATTTCATGAAGTTCCTCTCTGCCTAACTCTCCAGTCTGTCCAGATCAATTCATTTCATTCAGCTATCATCCAGACTTATTATAAATCAATAGAACTTGGGGTCTTAGGACACCCTTCGATAATATCCTTTTTAGAACCCTGCTGCCTACCTTGGCCTCCCAAAAGGAGGGGAATGGCACGCACCTCATCTTACTGAATTCCTTCTTTGCCCTATTAGCAAAATTTTTCAGTCCATCGTAGCCACATCTGCTCACATTTATCATGCACCACATTCATGCAACGTTATCTGCCTATATACACACACACACTCCCCGGATGCACAGGTGCATGCATGCTCATGCACCCATCTTTTGATCAAGGACAAGTATCAGTAGCCAAACCAAAAAATAAAGGTGAATAATTTTTAAGAAGAAGAAAGTGAATATACTTTTGTTTTGCTTTGTTGTTTTTTAAACCAAAAATCCCACAGCATGAAAGAAAAACTAACATTTCAGTCTCTCCATTTCTAGCCAGTGTTATGTTGTTAACATGGATATTTTAGCATTAGGAAAGATGCAGTTACTGCAATGTATTAAATAATGTATATAGGGAAAAAAAGTGAGTTTGATGAACTATATATTTTTTAAAACCAACAGAAGAACAGTACTTCTGAAAAGTAAGCTGGTGTATCCCATCACTGGGTCTAAATTTCCATAGATGTCCATAGATTATTGAAACTATCTTATGGCAAATGTGGAGAAAAGCAATTTAACTGTTACGGTGAAGCCTCCGCAGCTTGAAAGCTGCATTTAAGATTATTTTTATCTTGGACTCCACCTGGAAACTACATGAGCCTTCAGCTCTCCATCTGTGAGAGAAGCACATTCTCTTTGTCTTTTCTGGAGTGAAGGCTTTATAGTTTGCTTTTGGAGAACAGGAGGGAAGACCTGTAATTCCTTATTTGGCATTTCCTGAAGTTTTCTAAAACTTCTTTAAAGCTTCTATTGTTATTTTTATTCAGTCCAGGGTACTTGAATGAGTTTCTCCAAACTCTGTTCTGTAATGAATTTCAGACATCGCTTTTTACCCTCTTCTTAGTTTTCCTGTCTTATTAACTAGCTCTCCTTCCAAGAATACTGAAGTAGAGCAGAGCAAACTGCTGGCTAGGGCTGCTCCAGCTTTCTTGAAAGGCAAAGGGTAAGTTAAAGAGAAAGTATATTCGTCGCTTGCACTAACACAGCTAAACCAAAACTTTTTCCTCTATTCCTTCTGCTTTTAATATGTTCTATAAACATCTTTCCTGAGAAAATTGTCATAATCAATTAACCCAGTGAGCTAAGCAGGGCATGTTTAAATATATTTATGTACATTTGGATGCGTGAGATCTTCATCAGACACTTCCAAGCAAATCCAGCTTGTGATTTCAGTATGTTAACTGTGTGTGTAACTTATGTATATTTAATGTGTATTTACAATACACAGTGTATTAGAGCAAATAGTGCTGACCTCACAATCTGCCGTACCTTGAAACAAACGGTACTGTACAGCTTCAGTCCCTGGCCCAATCTCGCCTCTCACTGATTTCCAAGGCTGGCTCTGTAATCCTGTGGGATTCCACCATCCTAAGCCGTTAGATACTTAACATATAAATTACAACAATAACAAAGTAATTTCTGTACTTGGTAGTTTTTTTCTGAGAACGCTTAAGTATTCGTTCCTCAATTCCCATTTCACAATCTCACTTGCTCCTGCTTTCTCTGTTTATTTCCCTCTGTCTGTCCGGACTGCACCCTCTCTCCCCCCGACCCCGTTCCAGGTTACAGTACAGCCTCGATGTTGCAGACAGGCTGGCCGATGAACATGTACTCATCGGGTTGTATGTCAACATGCTGCAGAGCAACCCCAGACGGTTAGTGCAGGTTTGGCACCTTTGGGGAACCCAGGAAAGGGACGCTGGTCGTCCAAATGCTCTCACTGTTTCCTCCTGGCTACAAGCTGAAGCAGCTCTTTATGAGCACTAACCTAAAGGGAATGCGTATGAATACGGGGTATGTCCTCCCAAAGTTGGTGGATTGTGGCAATTGCTGTTATGCTCTCTAGTGATGTTAAGTAGCAAGGTATTGCAAATAATTGCTTAATTAAGAACGGCTATACAAATTGATTTTGGATACCATGCTCTAGTCAATGCAGGACTTGGTGATAGTACAGAAATTTTCATACAACAATGACTAACAAGTCTATGTTTTCAAGGTAATGATTTTTAAGGTGATATATAATTTGGGCTTCACCTTACCTTGAAAGTAAGAACCGGTAATATTACATAAACGATGGTAATAATAATGATAATAGGAATTTCCTTATTAGCCTGGTAAAGGACAGAGTTAATTTCAATTTTTACAGATGTCAGACATTGTTTTTAAATCTGCCTGATTTCTGCATTGTTTAAATCTTGTATATAAATTTGTCCTTATCTCTCATTCAGACTCAAGTATGACAATTTTTTAAATGGGTGTCTTGAACATAGTTCACTATTTCTGCTGGAGTGAATACAGAGATTTGTCTACTAAACCCACCTGCTGTCCTAGCACTTGTGGATGGTGGCATCACAGCAGGCCATCCCAGGGAGGGGAAACGCTGGCTCAACTCTCCCGAGTGCAACAAAACTCCAGACTTTGTAGCCCTGTACCAGGAAGGTGGCGAGTGGTGTGGTATAAGGCCCTAGAAAATGTGGCACTGAACAGTGTTTCTAACAAAACTATGCTCATGAGGTTTCTGTGGCTCATAACGAACCCTTTGGGTTCCTGTACTGCTGCTGTTGCAGAATATTTCTGCAGAGTTAGAAGAAACTCTTCATTTACTCTTACGTGTAGAAGGCAACAAGCAACTTCATTTGAGAGAGTGAATGCAATGATTCTCTGCAGTCATACAAAATTCACTTCTGTGTGTAGCTCCAGTTGAAAACGGGAGTAATTTGCCATAATAGCTATGTCCAGTGGAGAAAAGAGCCTGCCTGCATTGGTCTGGATCCACTTCTCTACTCTGCAGCCCACTGGAATGTGCCAGGATGTTTCCCCCGATATGTGGGGGGAAAAAAAAGGAAAATTGTTTTTTAATAAGGAAAATGAAAAACCTTTCTTGAATACAAAGGCATTGTGAAGGGGATTTCATTCCTGGAGCAGCACTTCCAGAAAGCAGGCTTACTGAGCAGTATTTACACCATGGCTATGGAAACAAGCTGCTGGGGGCATGTGTGTAGACCAGTCATTGCCCACCCGTGACTGAAGAGGAGAGGAGTACACTATCACTTGGGTCAACGTTTACAGGGAGAAAGAAATGTGGCCCTGCCTACCACAAGTGACTTACTTGGTACAGTTGTTCAAGAGGCCAGCAAAGATGACATGGTTTAGAGTAATTTTTGATGCTAGGCTACTGATGCCATGTTTGTGATTCATTTAGCTTCACGGAGGACCACCAGTTAGATCCCCTTGTGAGTGCTTAGCTTCATCTTTACCGTCTTCATCCTCTAAATTTTATCCAACATAGTCCAACCTGTTTTTTCAAGCTTTTGAGCCAACCTCACCAAGTCATGGTTCATTTGTATCCAAATATGCACATGCAAATTATGTGCCATAACATCTTTCAAATTAAATGTTTTTGAGGGATGAATGGAGAGTGACTGATAACGGCCTTAATTGTTTAAATAACCAATGCAAATCATAGTACATAACATCTGATTACTGACATTAAATCACTGCAGTCACAGAATCCTCAACAAGAAACAGTCTCAGTCATTTATGTAAGATACCAATTAAATTTTGACAGAAACATAACCGAGAGGGACAGCAGTCTTAGCCGTGCGTCAAGCTATGCTGCATTGCCATTTTCTGCTTTGCTGCAACGAGACTGGTAGTACAGAAAGTGAGTGGTTATGTTTTGGTAAAGACAAGAACAAACAGAACGTGGCCATTCTGAAGCTCCTGTGTGACGCCAGTTTCCAGGAGCGGTAGGTGAGGCCTCTGCAGGAGGCTCAGCTGCTGCATCTCACATAGGCTGGGGCGGCATCTTCAGGCAAAGGTGAACTCCTTCTGCCCATGCCCCAAGTGGCTGGATGCAGTTTGCTCAAAACCCACGCAGCTGTGTTAGGATGATGCCGAGCTCAAGTTACTTCACCCTGCAGCTCAACAAGATTTGGTAACTTGATTAAAGCATGTAGTTAACCATAATCAGGTAGCTTCTGTTTTAGGGGAGGCTGCAGCTAGCCAGCTCAACTTTGTGTCTGCCTGCAAAATGCCACGTGTGCACACATACCCATGGGTGCCATCACATATTTTCAAATGATATTCAAGCCAAAGATGAAAAGAGGAATGATTGTAGCTGGACCTTCATTTGCAAGAAAAACTTACAGAATGCTTTGTGAGCATAATACATAAAATTATCTTAAGAGCTATATAGTAGCATTTCAAAACAAAATGAGGTGGGTTTTTTTAGATATTGAGTCAGGCTAATTTTTAATAGCTAATGATCAATCCAATATAGACCAGTATACTTTTTTTCTGTGTTAAGTGTAGATGGTATTTATATTATGGGTTTTTTAAAAATTAATTTAATTAATTCTCACTGTTTAGCTTTATTTTTCATCTGCAGTTACTTGATGTCGCAACTAGGCTTACAAGTTTTCCTTCCCATCCCTCACAGGCTAATAAGCTATTTGAGGGTTTTGTAGAATCCAGTACTCCAGGGCAAATTAAGAAATAAGAGAAAGACTTAATTCATTATTTATAGTAACTGTATGGGTAGAAATAGTAACCCTTAGCCAGACGTTTAGGTTAGTTTAATTGTAAAGTGTGTTTTAGCCTGTAAAATCAATACTTGATATTTAATTTAGTCCATCTTTAGTGTCTGATTCTAAAAAAGAACTTTTAACTGCAAGTAGTTTTCCTTTTTGTTCATGTAAGTTAGAGACCTTGCCTAGTTTTGAATATTAATTCCAGATATTTCAGTCCTTTTCTTTTCAGGTGCAGAAGAAAATAAGATAAAATACAAGTAGGAGGTTGTTTTGTTCCATAGGAAGTTACTTTCTGCTTTTTTTGTGTTACACTGTGTAGTATTGTGGTGACTCATATTTCTCTACTATGAAAGTGCCATGCTATTCTATGGTATTTTTAAAAATGTTTATTAAGGAGGTGTGCACAACTAACTCTAGCGAGGAAGGCTGGTCGAATCTTCCCTTGAAAGAGGAAAAACATTCAGAGACCCTCTCTTTACAGAGGGGATGTATAGACACTTGTCTCCCTCAGATTTATTTTTTGTGATTATACCCACATACCTGAGTGTTATTAACATTTTCATGGTAAAATCTTGGTGATTCTAAAGTAAATTAACCATAGCAGAGGGCTCAGGTGATGTGTCTCAGTTTAAAGTGCCTTAAAACCAGGACAATTTTGAAAGTGTCATAGATAAACAATCTTCAGAATACGTTTGGTGGGTTGCTGTTAGGACATTGTTCTTCCAGCCCTGAGGCTTAGAAACCTACCCTTTAATTTGTCAGTATTTTCTATAGTAAATTATTTATTAAGTGAAGGTTTGTAGAATAAGAACATGTGTTGAAGACCACACTGATCTCTCTATTGCAAAAATTTCAGAAGAGACTGACATTTCTGAGACTATTCTAACCAGTGGTGACATAATTTTAAGACCATCAGGGGACATCCATATCACGTATTGCAGGGTGTCTACTGCAGAACAGGCTGATTTAACATATCTAAAGCCTGAGAAATAGCAAAGATCCTCCAGTGTCACTCTGTTCACAGGCTATCATATTTTTCATCGTTTGTCTGCAGATTTGAGATCCCTTTTTTATGAATCTCCTTTAGATGGTAGAATGTAACACAGATCAACTAAAGCCTAAAAAAGAAGTCCTGCTGTACAGGTGATAATATTGGATATTCACTCTACATCTGAATGATAATAATTCTTCCAAACCAGTTATTGCTAGTAATTATAGTGTCTTTAAAGAAATGGTCACTAATGGAGAAGCAGTGTTAAAAGTGTTTAACTTTTTTAGAAAAGAAGGCTCAGCAGCAGGACATGTGTATGCAAAATGTTAATGTTCTTTCAAAAGCATGTCGGAATCATTCTCTTGAAGGTCCCAAATTCTGCACACATATTCATAATATTTTAAAGCTTGTGTGTATTTTACTGCATCATTGTCCGTGAAGTTGCTGAAGTAAATCAGAAATGAATTATGGCAAATCAGAACTCTTGAGGCATAAAAGTCTTGGTAGTCGAGGCTAATGCTGCTGTGCATACCTCTCTGCTTCCTGATCACGTAGAATAGGTAGATTCCAGAATTAAATTTATCTCAGACATTGAAATTTAATTTACAAAGCTTTGGGGCCAGTGATTTGTGGCATTCATAGACCAAACCTGACGGGCTGCTACATCTATTTTATGACATCCACCTACACGTAAATATATATCAAAGACATTAAACAGCAAGGAAGAATCAAAAGGCTGCAGTGGCTTGGTTCATTCAATAAAGTCATTGTCTCAGGGTCAGCTCACATCTCAGAACTATGTTGCAGATCGCGTTATGCCAACAAGTGGAACCATAACCTGTTATTTTTGCAGGAATGATAATGTGGTTGCACACTGGTGTAAAAAGGAGAGTTGGTGCTGAATGCTTGCTGTTTTCACAGCCATCTGCTAGGATGTGATGTTTTAGTCATTATGGAAAGATTAAAAATTAATTAAATTTATTGTCATGAAAGTAATGCTTATTACCTGGTTTGCATGCTTTCATGAGAGAGTTTGTAAGAGTTGTTTCCCCCTTTCTTTGGATGACATATCAGGACAGTAAGCATGAGTATGTAAGAAGCAGAACTGTATAAATTTAGAAAAATACCTTTATGGGTCTTTTCAGAAAGTAAATCAGTTATCCCTCAAGAATCTGAGTAAGCATAGAATTAAGCTATATATGTAGCAAAATAAATTAAACATAACCAAACCCAAAAAGTCAGAGTTCGTCTACCACCAGAAGTCTTACGTGCGGTCTGCCACCCAAGGTTCGCTTACGCAGAGCCCTCTGGGTCTGACTTTCCATAGCTTTACTGTTTTTCTAAGCTTCATATTTGTGGTCTCACAGGTTATTGTCAGAATGAGAAAAAAGATGATGTCTGTCTCTTTTTACCCTTACCTCAGCAAGCCATAACAAATCCACAACTCCCAGCTTTAATGATCAATGAATGTCAACCACCACCTATCTTTCAGACATAACTTCTAAATCCCAGTGAACTTAATCAAGCCAACCAAAAGATGCACACTGTAGTTCCCTGAGGTACCTGGGGATATGAACTCACTGAGAATTTTGGGGGAAATATTTCCTTTTCCTTTTGAAGATGCTGATTCTTCAAAAGCAGAATTTTTTGCATAAGTGCCATTTTCATCTAGAAGGCTTTTCAAGTTCACGATACAGTTTCTGGCAAAAAAATCAGAATTAAGATGTCCATGCCCAAAATAACCCTTGTTTTGCGCACTGTTTCGAAACGTGAAGCTTGCTTGCCAGCAACCAGTTGCATGCCCTGAAGAGCAATGGAGGTAGAGAGGCGTGTGCCTGTCTCTCTTCAGCCAAAACATCAGATAGTTGCCAAGGCATAAGAAAAGAGGTCAGATTTACCTCTGTCTGGGCTAGTCTGCAGGTTTTCTTGTATTCCACACAGCAAAGCATTCTTCTCACCTCTCCTTAGGGGCTTCATTTTTTTTCTCTTGTATATATGAAAAGTAAAGTAATGCGATAGAGAATTCTAAATCCCAGGATTGTCCAGGGTCAACTAAGTCCTCTTCATATTTCATTTTTTTGCCAGTTTATTAGTTTTGGTGGTTCTCTGCAAACTTCTAAATAGAAATAGTAAAGGTTCTCGCTATATTACTTTTTTCCTGCTCCTCTGACTAAATAATAGCCTCCATTTAAAACAAGGACAGCTGGCAAGGGATTAACCTGAGAGAAATATTTGCCTTTGATATTGTTAGAAAAAAAAGAAGGTAATAAATTGCAATATTTTTAAGGAATTTAGCATATTTGCAGTAAGTTCTTACACTTTCTGAGTAATTTTTATGGAGATACTGTGCATGCGACCAAAGCAGACGCTTTCCATAGCTGGTGCTAGTAGACTCCCGCATCCTGGCAGCAGGAGTTGGCTCCAGGTTACAGTCAGTCCAAGTCCGGGATCAGTGGTGCACTGTTATGTGATTTTCTGAAATCTTACTCCCAAATATCAAGAAACCAAGAATAAGAGTCTGATTATAAATTCCTGGATCAGTGGTTCCAAACTGTGGTCCATGAGGCCTTGGTAAGTGCCCTGCAAAGCTGTCCTAAATACTGTTTTCTGTTGCAAATCTGACAAAGCTCCTAAAAATTGACCTCAGCAAACACTGAGGTTGCCACTAATCCATTGTCCAAAAAGTAATCGTTCTTCTAGGTGATATGGCAAAGCTGAGAAGTAAAAAAAAAATGCTGACTGGTGGTCCTAACCACCTGCCAGCCCTCTGTGGACAGAGTAGTCTGTGAGTTGCATCTTGCATGGCCCTGGCCGGGGGTTGCAGACCGCTGCTCTTTCCCCCTAAGGGATGGTGCTGCCTGGCCCCTAGAGCTGAGCCTTCTGGGGAAATGACCCTCCCACTTCTCCCCTTTGCTCAATTAACACCTGCCATTGTTAATTTGGCCACTTTTTGCTTCTAAATTCTGTAATGAGGGTGTGTGAGCTGACAGTGTGACAGAGCAATGGTCATTTTTACTGTGTATTAACATGTCTTCCCTCCGTCCTCTCCAACCCTGAGCAGTGTTCTCGATAGCGCAAGTCGCCTGGATGAAGAACATAAGCTGATCGCCAGGTATGCAGCAAGGCTGGCAGCAGAAACTTCTTCATCCGTAAGTGTTTTAATTAAAGGAAGGTACTTTCCTTCTGTCATGTTCCAGGGGCTTGGCAAGATCAGAGAAATTATATCTGACAATCTTAATGATTAATGGATTATTTTTCCCTATCCATCAGATGCTGTTATGCTTTAGTAATAACACTTTTATGCAGTCCATTTAAACCAAAGAATCCACATCATAATGCATATAATCTATATACTAATACAATGGTATTTAAACAATTACAGCAAAGGGAATCTGACATCTTGAACTCGGAAAAGACTAGAAAATATTGTCTGGACTAGCTTTGGTTAAAGGTTAATGACTTACTACAGTGGGAAAATGGGGTGCTGAATCCATTTTACTCTTTAGTTCAAATATCACAGGCACTAGGACCCTAAGTGTTGAGGATTTTAAAGAACGATCTTCAGCA